TGTGGATTTCTTGCAAATGAGAACTCGACGAGATCAGGATCTCGCTAAGTCTTGCTGAAACGGGAGCTCTCTTGTCATTCTCCTTGGCTAGGAAGGGCATCACCTTCTTCACTGGACGCTTTTGGATTTGATATATCACCATCATTATAAAATCATCATTATGTTGTGTTTGAGGCAGTACCACCGCAAAATTTATGCTCCCTTCTATTTTAGGCAACTCCATAACACATACGAACTTCTAAAGTCTATTATGATAGAATAAATAATCATTCATTTTTGACATATATGATAAAACTTGTGTCATATTGGACTATTCTCAGTGGAAACCACTTAAGAGTAGGGCTGTGAATTTAGCTCGAAGATGGTTAATCGCTCGAAATTGATTTGAATCTTTGCTCGAATCGAAATAAATAATCGAGCTATGAGCCGAAACTTCAAATTAAATTTTTTTGAGCTGATTTTGAGCCATACATGAATTGACCGTAGTATTTTTTATTTATAAAAATTATGTATATAATGCTAAGTAAAATTGAATATAACAAGTCGAGCAAATTTTCAAGCCTATTTTGAGCTGGAATGGATCCAAATAACTCAAATTGAGCAGTTAGTTTCAATTTTAAGCCGGTTCGAGTTGATTCCTAGCTAAAGTGGATCCAAATAACTCGGTTTGAGCTAGCTCTTTTCGATTTCGAGCCGTCTCTGCTCAAAATCGAATATAAATAGCCACAAGCCTATTTTGAGTTGACCCCAACTCGGCTCAAAATCGGATCGTTAACAAACCTACTTAAGAGGTAAACTGTCAATCAAGATATCGAACGACTCTCTCAACAAAGGATGTTTCTTTTCTGGTATCGGCTTCCCGGACTCACTACATTCTAGAACAACCAATTTTAATCCAACTAGAGCTTCTGTCATGGGCTTAGCATCTTTCGTGTCTCTTCTTTGTATGCTTGAAGTTGAGAGTTTCCTCTGAAGTCTTCATCATCTCCCATGTTATTGGCCATTTATTTAACTGCTCCTTCGGTGAAAGAAATGGCCCTCATGTTTGGGCAATCAAGTAGTATGTGGCCAAAATCGTGACACTTGAAGCAGTTACTGGCAGGGATAGATTTGGGAGTACTAATGGGCTCCACTTTTTCTTCAATTTGTGTGGATTACTCCTCTTGTTAGGTCGTGTTTGGTGCTTCATTTGGCGCACTTTTATTACTTGATATGATGGTTGAATTCTGTTTGGAGGGTGTTGTGGACCTCATATTGGCTTGCTGTCTTTCCATCTTCAGTGCTACGGTCTGGACATTCTGTGTTGTTCAATAAGGTTGCAACTATACCACATTTCTATTGGACAATCTTAATTCTCTTAAATATTGAGCTATGGTGTTTTTCTTGGGCTCTACTAGCCCACATTTCAACATAAATTGCTCAAACTCAGCTATCTACTCCACAGAAGAATCTCTCCGGTGTAGGTGATATAGTTTTATGAACATATCCCGTCAGTAATACTGGGGAAGGTTTTTGCACTGCATTTCTCATTTTATATTGGACCACAGTAATTTTAGCATTCCCTTCTCATTGTCGAAGAGGCTTTAGGTTTGCTCATCACAATGAAGCATTTTTTTCGAGCTTTGTGGCGTCTTTTTTCTTGAGGAATATCATTGTACTAAAAAATTCACTCTACTGTTTGAAGCCACTCAATGAACTTATTTGGATCCATACGATCTTCAAAATCCGATAAATCCACCTTTACTCTGAGATCCTAGCGTCTACTTTGATATTTTATGTTGAATCATTGAGATAGTGGTTCTTTGTCACTGAAAATTATTTTGTGGAAGGGATTCCCATATTTTTCTCGTTTTGACGAGTCATTATTGTGACAACGGGTGACCTCATTAGATTTTATCTTCGTAAAGGTGACAAACCTCTGTTGTGTTTGGAGGATTTTCCTTTGCTTATCTTCCATTTTAAGTTTTTGAACACCTATCTGAGGGTTTATCTTTGGTGGCATGACGTCCTCTTCTCTTGATCATGTTTTCGACAGATATATGTTCGCAAATCAAAGTTGGTTAGGGGGTTAGGTTTTGGTGTAGGTGTTGGGGTGAAATTTTGGTAAAGATAGGAAAATTGGATTTGAAAAGTTTTATATATGGCTAAGAATTGTATTAGGAATGGTTTGGGTAAGGATATATATATATATATATATATATATATTTTTGGTAGTGATAAGGAAGAAAAATCTCTAAAAATTTAGGGTTTGCCGGGCTCTGATACGGTTTGATTTCTTTTTGAGGGTCCTAGAAGGTGGTTTGGAAACTGGTTTTATGAAGAGGTGGTTGTGGAATGGCAAGGGTAAGATGATAAGCAAATTCGAAGGCATTCAAAAGGGGATTAGTGTCCTTTGGTGGCTGTCACTGCTGAAAAACAACAAAGATAGCATCAAAATGATGAGGTACGAAGGTTGAGGAGGATTCATCACTTGTTCCTAAGCAAGATACAAACATACTACTTGCAAAAAGAAACAGATAGCATCAAAATGATGTGGTACGAAGGTTGAGGAGGATTCATCACTTGTTCCTAAGCAAGATACAAACATACTACTTGCAAAAGGAAACAATACAAGATTCTGAACGACATAAAATAGAGAATGTCTTCCAAAATAATAACAATCTTCAATTATCTAAAAAACATATAAATAGTCTCTCAAATAAAAACCTGCTTAGAAATAAGAAAAATAGAAAATAAATAAGAAAATACAAGAAATTATTTTTTCCTTGCAGGATGGGCAGTATCTCGCATTTCGTGCTTTCCTGTGATTGTGAGAGCTGTGATTCTGTAATACTGTGGAATTCACATGATTGGAAACTCGACACGATCTCGATCTCGCTAAGTTTAGTGAAAATGGGAGCTCCCACGTCATTGGGGAAAGCATTTTGCATTGAACGCAAGAGGACCTTAAGGAGTCCTGGACTGGTTTTAAGACAAAGTGACTATTCCCAACAAGGGAGAGAGAGGGAAGAGCTTGTTTCATGCATGGGAAAAAGGATGCATTCATGGGGAGGAGGTAAATGGTTAAGAGTTCGAGGGACAAGAGGCTAGCATTGTTGTCTTCTTTGGGCCTTTTCTAAGCTCCTCTTGACCTTATTAAACCTTGGTTTTAATTACATTAGAATAATTTGTATAGCTTATTGCAAAGTAAATATGCATAAGTTGTGTATATTTTTGCATGGCCATTGAATATATTGAGTTTTCATTAAGTCATAAGAAATTAAATTAAATGACAAATTTATTTTAAAAGAGACACGAACACGATACTTCATGATACAAGGCACCTATTATTAAAAATATATGATATTGATATGGATTGATTATGATATTAAACTATCATACCTCATAAATAAAAAAAAACTTACTAATTATATATAAACTAAATAATTTTGAAGTGAAATTATATAATAATTTTTTTTAATTGCTATATTTAAATTTATTAAAACCCTTATACTCCAAACATTATATTTTGTTATCGTGAAATTGAGAAAACAAATTATTTTATTAAATAAAGTAGAAACTAAAGCATCACGATTTTGCCTTGGGCTTGAAATTTTTAATACGGGAACAGATAGTCGAATAACGATTTTCAAACTCTTTTACTTACATATTTTATCACTAGCAATTTATAATCCAAATAAATGTAAAGAATCATTAAAAAAAAGTAATTTAATACAATTAAATTTATTGTAGTTCATGTTGCTCACATATTTTATACATATTTCATCATCTATTGTTTATCTTTTAATCAAATGTTTAAACCTAAATCATTAATTTAAAATAAAATATGCTACAACATTTAGTGAATGCTCATACTTCTAAACTATCATTACTAATTTTGTTTCATATAAAAACCCTAAAAAATATGCTATAGGTATAGGCCATAAATTTAGGATTAAAAGAATAAAATGAAATACTTAATTAAAAATTACCTCAACTCAATAGGCTCGCCCCAAATGAATTCCAATCCCACACATGATGCTTCGACACCGCACTTCACCATCACCGCTACTGCATAATAGCTTGAGTGTTGCCTTCATGCATAATAGCACATGAGTCACTATCTAAGCTTTTTTGCCTCCTCTTCTTTGCTCGAGATTATCTGCACGTGTCGATTGCTTGCGTGCTGCTCTTAACATCGTTGTTCGCTTCCTTGTCAGGAGTGCAACTTTTGCCTTTTGGAGAGCCCTTGCTTTACGCACAAGTGCACTCATGAGCCGCTCAATGATGCCCGTCGATCGATCGCTGCTCGTAGGACGCCATCGTGTTGCCTCCCTACCTTGAGCTACTCTGTGATCACCCTTGTAGGTACTCATTCAGTCCTGTTTTCCCCTTCAATCGCCCCTAAAAGCACTAAACGATCTCATTCAAAATGTAACACTTGTATTACAAAAAAAATGAAAGGCAAAACCCGAGCGTTACATAAACATTATAAAAATTGATAGGAGAATAAAACATTGTTCATAAAGTAAAATAAGTGTCAAGTTGCTATTAAGTTATTCAAGCTATATGTTTTAAAATAAAATGAAATAGTTTACTTCATTGAATTAATTTATGGAATATAATTTTAAGTTCATTATTTAGGACATATGAGTTGGACATACATATCTGTTAATTTATTTTTTTTATTAATTGAAACTGTGGATGGTGAGTGTCCAATATGTGTTAGGCGTTTGCCGAGTATTCTATCAGGTTAATTGAACATGTGGATGATGTAAGATTAATATGATATTAAGAAGCTTTAGCAGAATGAGGTAAGATTAATATGATATTAAGAAGCTTTAGCAGAATGTCAATGTGTCGTGACCTCTAATTTAGTTGATCAATATGATATTGAGAAGCTTTAGCAGAATGTCAATGCTTCTTGACCTCTAATTTAGTTGATCTATACTGGACAACATATAGCAAGAAATAAATGCCGAATTCATGGAAGTCATTTATTTTTTTCATTATCATTGCAGCCCCCGTTTTTTATTAAGGCAAGAGGTGACAAAAATTGTTAGATCTATAAACAAGCAGTTACGTGAAAAATCCATCAAGACAAAGGTAAGATGTCTTACTAATACTATCATTGTTCATATTGTTTTCTCAATAGTTTTCATTCTCCTATTTTTGATGTTCAGGTTGGAGCTTTTTCAGTTTTAAAAGAACTTGTGGTTGTTTTACCCGACTGTCTTGCCAATCATGTTGGATCCCTTGTAGTTGGAATAGAGAAAGCTTTAAGTGTGAGTGATGCTCTCCATTTGTTGCATTAACTTCCTAATCATTTTTAACCTATTCTTATCTTTCATGATCTTTACAGGATAAATCTTCTACCTCAAATTTAAAGATAGAGGCATTGATTTTTGCTAGACTTGTTCTTGCTTCGCATTTACCATCGGTTTTTCATGCTCACATTAAGGTAATTCCCGTTGATCTGTTGACAGAGTTATTGCAGTGCTTATTGTACTCTTTTATTTCGTTTGTAGCATTGATGATCTAAATGTACTATGTCTGATATAGTACTTTTGAATACATACATGGAATAATTTGTGTTAGTGATTATCTAAATGGAAAGCTCACGTGCAACATTTGTGTGTTTCTCGGAATAAAAGGAATTCAAGTTTATTTTGTGTTAGTTCATGCAACATTCCCAGACTTTAAATTTGAGTATTTAATTCATTCGTCGAAGCACATGTGGTTATTTAATTTAATAGATTTGGATTCATTTTAGAAAGCTTGCATGCTTTTCAAGACACTCCGACAATTTTTTAGGCATATTATTTATGTTAAAATTGCTTTGTTTAGCACGTTTATGCCTTGAAATAATTTAGATTTAATTATTAGCATGGATATGCTAATGCATGCGAAGCTACATTTTGAATTTTTAAACAATGCGTTCTGCCTGCTTGCTTATATATGTCACAGATACAATGATGTTTTTGGTGATCTAGTTCTTGTCATACATTCAAAATAATGAAATTTTATTTAGTCATCAATTTGTTGAATTGCAAGTGTTTAATAAGCAAATCTTATTCATTCTCGTTGATGAGTTATCATTTTTAATTTGTTTGTAGGCTAGGGGACCAAGTCCTTTGTTGTCTATTTTTGTCTTTAATTTTATGTTTAATGTGATTTACAAGTCATTTTAAGTGTCCATTTTAATTATTAACTTTTTGTTTTCTCATTTTGCAATATTTATACCTAGTTTGTAAATTTGATTGTGTTTTTTGTAATCTCATTGGCTATAGGAATTTTGAACTATTGAAAAATTGCTTAATGTATATAGTAGGCTACATCAATCAATGCATTCAATTTTGAAAAAAAATTATTATGATAATTTTGAAATATAATTGTCTACATTTTGGAAGGCTTGTTTGCTTTTTTCTCTTTCGGTATTATTTACTTTGGTGTATTACCAATACTATGACTATGCACATGATAGTTTCTATCAATTTATTTATTTATTATAAATAATTAAGTTTCTTTCTTATTTATTTTTCTTTTTCCGGTTCAATTCAATAAAATTATTTTAGTACTCCTTAGCTTTCAAATTTAATTATTTAATTTACTAACTAAACTGAGGTAAATTTATCATTTTAATTACAATTTTTTCATTTATGTTCCATCCAATTTAATTCAGCTTTAATTTGATGAATGAAAATTTAATGTCTATTTTCTTGTAATAACTAATCCAAAGTGGCTTAGTCTAAAGCGATAAATAGCTCTTATTATTTATATGTTTAATAAATTTTTTATCTTCTTTAATCAAATTTAAATTTAATCAATTAAATTCTCAAAACTATCATTTTTAACTTTATTTTAACTATTTTTATCTTGGCAAATTTTTTTAAACAAATTTTAATGTTGCCTTCAACTATATTTGACACGGGGGTTATTCCTCTCTCACTCCTATTGAATCGGGCAACCTAAATCAGTTTAGTTGAGACTGAGTAAGGGCTGGCTGGTCCCAATTATTGGGATTGCCTCTCAATTAGGAGAGGGGCCCATATCTCCTTCCTATCAAAATAGTATTTATTTATGCTTTGTGTGCCTTAAGGTTAGCTTATGTTATTTTCATATTTCAGTTTGTGAGGAGAGCTGCTGACGTCCTATTTTTTCCTCTGAGGGTTGTATCTGACGGTTTGGGTGGTGCTTCGTCAGTATCTCTCCCCCTGGTTGTGATTACCTTCTCCGACTTCCACCTCCACCTCCCCTCCTCACCGCCTTCTAGTTTTCCTTGTACCCTAGTGTTCCCAACCACCAACATCCAGGAGTTTTCTTCATAGCCAACACCTTTTCCCGCTTTCAATCACGTATTTCTTTGGTGATTACCTGCATACCCCCCCCC